ATTGTACTTTTTTCTTTTGAATACTTGATTTGAAATCAACGATTCGAATGATTCGATTGTTGCTTCAGTTTCATGTTGCTCTTTTTGAATTTTGGAGATAAATGAATGTATACCAGGGTGTGTTGATTATAAACGATGTATTTTGTTGTTCCAACCTTCTGCTGAATTGGATGTTCTWGGCATTTCATTGACAGTTCAACAGTGTACTGACCACATTTCAATTGGAAAACATGGTTCGTAACGCGTAGCTTCTTTTTTTCTAAACCTCATTATAATTTTTCCAATCGCRTAATTTTCTTCAAAATATGTTACTAGATCAATTTCATCGTCCTCAAATGCAGATTTCAAAATACCCCACGCTTCCTTCACTTTCTCCGGGRGCAAAAATGCTAAACTTGCAATTTTACGGGCTCGAAAATTGAACTCGAGAACATTTTTATACTTTGTAACCAAACCTAACACTTGGATCTTACGATATATCGACTGTTGTAAATGAAAAAAACACGCCRAATGGATTGCAAACGGAAATACGTTATTGATTGCATTAATCGCTGCCTGTTCGAAATCGGTTATTATTTTCTTTAAAAAAGATTCCATTGTCTTCAGCAAATTGACTTAAATTAGAAAATAACATACTATATAAATCTTCATCTTTTCCAGTCATTAATGCAAATACTAATGGAAATACCATTTCGTTTCCACCCCGTGAAATTGAACATAAAATTKTTTAAAAAGCTTAGGACACGATTTAAAAGTTCTGTCTAAAATCCAAAATTGTTAATTCTTTAAATAATTACAATTTTCAATTGTTGTGAAAATCATGATATAATCATCATTTCGTTTAACAGTTTTAATTAAAAATTTCTTTCCACTCAATGTATCAACAGATAAATCATTAAGATCAGAAATGTGTTTTGGCTCTTTCATATTTGTTTTTCTTTGCCTTTTAACAATTGATTTAGCTGAGCATTTTGAAATTTGAGAAGCTATAATATTTTCCACTTGTGAAATTGAATCTTGATATATAGAACTTGGTGTATCGTTAGTCTCAGCGGCCTTTCTTTTTATGACATTTTTAATTTTTTTACATTCAATTATCTGCGAAATTGGGCCATGACAGTGATCGGAAATACTAAATGGCTTACCTTTATCATCGGATATGTGTGTGTTGGCAATCATAGTAGTTTGGAACTTAGCTGCACAGTCGTGACATCTCCAATAATAAACTATTTTGCCATCAATTTTACGATTATAAATTTTATTGAAAACGTATAAAAACCCGTTTACATCTAACATATCATGTTTTTGATGAGTCGATTTCATCAACGTCAATGTAATATTAGAAATTGTATTTTGCATTTCGGCCAACAATTTATAAAATTTTATGTAACTCTACGTAGGTATTTAGTACGCGATGTACGGCAACGGCACTAGACTAAGACTACTTTTTTATATTTCTCGCATTCGACTAGATATAAAATAATCATATATTACATAAATATATTACATTAATCAATATAGAACCATAATYCTACGATAATTATTAAACGATAATATCTTAGATAATAGTGGGCAATATCAATAAAATAGAAACTTGATAACGATTATTGAGTAACAAAGCATTATATTTATAAACATAATGTATTTTGACATTTTCCGTCTTCCCGATCAAACATAAACTAATTACAGATTTGGAAAAGTATCATAATTTCTACACTCTGTATCGTAAATTCTATTAGGTACAAAAAAAGACAGTATTTTATTTAAAAACTGTATTTATTTCTTTTATTTTCTAAAACACTATTTAATATTTTTCTAAAACACAGATTTTCTAAAAGTTTCATATTATAAAATATAGATTTTCTAAATCTTTTCATTCTAAAACCCAGCATTTTAAAACTTGATTTTTGAAAACATGCACCCAAATCGACAAATCAATCATAATAGGTTCACAATTCTTGACATTTTTTAATCGCAAATATAAATACATAAATTTAATATTTTTTTATTCAAATATTTAAATTTATTACATACTATTTTCAGTTGATTACATTGTATGATTACAAATTAAAATTGGTTTGTAATATTATGATAATGATATATACATGTTAATATTTATTAATAAAAATTTTTTGTAGTAAAACTTGGATTGTTTTCACTGAGGTCTAATAGTAGAAGGTCTTGCGAGTGATGTGGTTTTAAGTAGTTAATGATTTTCATAAAACATTAAAACCTTTTGAGTTATTATGTTATTACTCTTAAATAATTTTAAAGAAAATGTGATATATGCTATTTTTAGTAATATTTTAATAATATATTAAAATTACTTGAATCAAATCTGATCTATTCTGTATACTAACATGGTAATTTTAATTGATATAGAAAACTGGGAAGTTAATCAAAGCTCTTCTGCTGAAGAAGTACAAAGTCCTAACAACGAGTCATTATGTCCTGATCATCTGACAAGAGATGAATGAGTATTAAAACATTTAATAGATGTTTATATTTTTGTTAATTGAATTTTTCTTATTATTTTATAAGTTATGCATATGTATTATTTAAAAACTTTTGTTGATATAAAAATTATTATTTATTAATTATCTCGAATTGTAATATGATTTATCAAAACTTGAGGTAAATCAAAAAATTAACTTTATTGAGAAGTGTAAATACAACGTTTATCGAATAAACTATGTTAATTACCCTAATTTTATTTTCAAGCTATCCATGTACGCCAGTGTTATATGTAATAGAAATTAGCAGCTATACCTTTTAGTGCAAAAACCCCGTCCTCTATATTATGCTTTTTTATTTTAAATGAGTTTTATCAGATGCCTAAAACGCAAATGGTGCCGGGATCTGCTATCCCTCACTAATTAAACCTACTATAATAAATCGAAAAAAAAAACAGGGTACTATGAATTAAGTTGGATACAATTTGAGTAACTTATGATATATATTTAAAGTGTTTCCGATTACCAAGACTGGATACATTTAAAACTGGTGTAGAAATATGAACATGAGACYATATAATGAAGAACAAGGCCATGAGGAACCTTTAGAGAAAAAGCAAATAATAGCAATTAGTATTAAAACACTTCCGACCGCACAAGGACTCTATTGATAATCAACAGGGCTCRAGATTTAAAGCATTTGCTTATTTTTATGGATTGACTTAAAATGTAGCATAGTGCTATGGATGTGTATGTYATGTTATGATTCATTTAATTTTGAAGTTTGAAAGTGCTTTTTTTTCTTGTTTCAGTGGTTTTTCAAAAAAAAATGCTTATTTCCAGTTTTTCTGATTATTTTTGCTTATTTGACCAGTATTTCTACGTTTTTATAATGTTTTCAACTATTATAAATATTGTTTMCATTTCATTTTTTGGAAAATCCATAAAATCCTTGAAGTCTCAAAAGTGAAAATTAATTTATTTTATAATATAAAGATAAAGATTCCTATTTTTATTTTGTTTGATTTTTTAGTTAGAACTTTTTAGTTTTTTGTTTTTTGATAAATATTTTTGCAAAAATTTAAGTTTATTTAAGCTTATTTGAGTGCTTATGATGATGTTTTTAAGCGCTCATTTCAATGATTTTAAATGCTTTAAGTCCCGAGCCCTGATAATCAATATTCCAACAGCACTTTTAACATTTTTTTCGTTAAAAAAAAAAAACACAATTAATTCAAAACTTAACACTCATTGAAAAATATAGCACATCAGTAATTATCCTTTTAAACATCAGAAACTATTAGTAATTTGTAGACTGTGGTTATCACTTATTCTGCATTTGAAAATTACTGAAGACATCAAAGTWAAAARTACAAATTTCACGAAGATTTTTTTTCACGTAAAAGAACAATTCAACTTAATAGTTTATACCGTGTGTCCCAAGAAACAGGTTACACTATAAAGCTCATTATCTTGTAAATATCTTTAAATTCTATTTTCGGGACATTTAACTAGACTAATCGATTATAAATTCATATGAATTAAACAATTTTTAACTCRTGTACTAAGCGMATGCGCAAAAAACTCTATTTTTTAAACAGCAACTCCTATTTTAGATATAATTTTCGGATTGATCGATTTCTTCAAGACATTTTTATGAATCAACTTGTATTGTAAACGGCAAATTGGCTTAATTAGAACTATAGGTATAGTTACAAAAAACCTATACAATTTGAATGTTTTTTTTTATTCATCGTATTATTTCCTTCAAAACTGTTTAGGTACATGTTTGTAATTTCTGTAAATTAAATTGTAAATAAAAATCTGTAGTATTTTTAAAAAAATTTAAATAATTTACAACTAACCTTATAATAATAATTTTGATTACATTACGGCGTTGAAAAGGAAATAATACGATAAAAAAAAAAAATTTAATAACATTTTTTTTAATCATACCTATAATTCTAATTTATTGCATTTTGAGTTTACAGCACAAGTTGATGTATTAAAATATCATCATCAAAAAAAAAAAAATCGAACAATCTGAAAATGATATTTAAAATAAGGGTTGTCGTTAAAAAAAATAGTTTTGTCGCGCATGCGCAAAATACATGAGTTAAATTAGTTAAAAACTTTTAAAGTCATTAATTTATGATCGATAAGTCTAGTTAAATGTMCCGCAAACAGAACTTAAAGATGTTTACAGGGTAATGACTAATGAGCTATAAAGTGTACCCGGTTTCTTGGGACACACAGTATAATACCACAGAATAGATAATACATTATTTTAAATATGTATTGGTGGAAGTTTCATTTAATGYGTGGACTGTCACGTAAATACTAATACAATAATTTTATTTAAAAAAAAWTAATTAATGATTGTTAATACAACGCAATCTGCGAGTCGTAGGGATTTAAATATTTTAAAAATTCAATGACGCGGGAAACCAAAAAACTTGTTTACGTTTATCGGCATTCACCACACAGAATATTCTGTGCATCAGTATTCCAGTTATCAGTAAGTTATGATAAAATCACAGAACAACAATTTTATCACGAGTAGGTATCGTTTATGCTCAAAAAACTTTCATCAATGTTTACGTTTGGTCGTTAAAAAATTTGCTCGTTTTGTTTAATAATTATAAAGTTTAAACAATATTATGTTTCGTTCAGGCTCCAGCTGTCTGATCACATCAACGTAGAACCGGACAAACGTTAAAGTAATCGCTCGCATGCACCGTAAGCAACGACGGCTATGGCTAAAGAACACAAAAAGCACAAGAAACACAAACATTCAAAGAACAAACACAAACCCAAAGACGATCACGGATACCACGTGCCGATCGTTCCGCTCAAGAGCGACGTGTGTCYAAAATCGGTGTCGGTGGCAACGCCAACAGTGGGCGAGTCGAGAGACACCGTCGCCAAACCCATCGGACCAGTTCTGCCGYCAGCCCTGTCGAGCTCCGTTGGCSATCATGTACACGAGATCAATACACCAGGACCAGAGGCCAATGAACCAAACCACTCGTACGGGCCCAGCTTACCACCACATCTGGTTCCGCAGAAACGCGCGCCAGGACCGTCGTTGCCTTTAGATTTCAAATTAGAAGATAAAGTAGTTGCTCAAATTGATGACGACATCTCGGGTTTCGGTCCATTACCRGCTGAACTGATAACTTCAGACTCTGAGCAATTATTCATACAAAAACAATTGGAGTTGCGAGCTGAATATATGAAACGAAAATTTGCTGGAGAAGTTTGTACAGTTTATTTAATTGCATAAACATAATATTTGTAAGCACCCTTTATTTTGATCGTTTGAAATCAACTAACACAATTACTTCTATTTAGATATGTGATGATAAAAAACAGGAAACGGTTCGAGAGAAATGGATGTTAGAGTTGCCGCCAGAAAAGGCTGCCAATCTAGGTTTAGGTGCAAGGCAGTTCAGAAAACGAGAAGCTCCCGACATGAGTAACCGATCAGAATGGACTGACACACCAACAGATAAACAACGTAAAGCTCAAGAACCAAAAACTGCTGAAGAAACAGACATGGATGCATTGAAACTGATTGCAATTCAAAAACGTGATGAGGAAATGGAAAAACTGGCAGAAACCTCAGTCAAACGGAAACCTTATTCGTTATTAGAAATGCACCAAGAAAAACTAAAAAAACAAAAAAAGGTGAATTTAATATAACCTAAGAATTATATTTTTATTTTATATTTATATTATTATTGAGTTTTAAGATTTAATACTTGTACAAGGACCAAAACTTAAAATTCACTGTTCAGTCAATCAGCTGATTAACTTACTGTGCATAATGTATTAACTTGAATAAAATGATATTTACAATTTTGTTAATTTTTCAGGAAAAGTTGAAAGAAGAACCTGTAGAAAGAAGACCTTTTAGTAGGGAAATTGATCTGCAATGTAATAAATTTGATAACGCTCAGAAACAATCAATATTGAAAAAAGCCAGTCAGCTGAATAATAGATTTTCACAGGGTGAATCTAGATTTCTTTGAATCTAAATTAAATCAAATTACAACTTGTCGGTAGTTGYCCATCATTAACATCTAGGTATGTTTATTGAGTATACATGTGATTTTCTTCACTGAACTTTACAAAATATATTTGTATATAATATAAATGAGACTAATAAAAATGTAATTTAATTAATGACTATCAATATTGAGATAACTAAAATTATTTATTACATTTTACCATTGTTAATGAAATTTATTAGTTGGTTATTAAATATTATTCTCACCTCTAACACTATTTTGAAAGTAGACCTTAGCAGTGAAAATAAATGAAACAATTAAGATACAATTAAAACGCTTTCAATATGAAAACATGTTAAGCAATGTGAATACTTATTTTCATTATATCTATAATTTTTAAAGTAATAATCTTATCGTATTCAAATGATGTAAGTTTATGAATGAGTAATTTTTAAATTAAGAGGACTTGATAATTTAAAATTTAAAAATATTTATGAATCACTTAAAAATAAAAATATGATAAAAAACCTAAGAGGTTGTCTAGATAACRATCTTACCTTTAAATTTTAAACTAACACCTGTTCTGCAGTGCGTAAAAATTGCCATGTTACGCATTAGTGAAAYAGAAATAACACATGCGTGTAATATGTCCTCTGAACAAAATAGTTTCATGGCTGATTATTGATAATACTAACATTCAGTAGATCTATCGGGTTATTTAGGGAGGAATGATGAAATTAAGATGAGGCATCGTTACTTCAAAAAATGTTATTCTGCCACTTACATACAAATAAGAAATAACTACTTTTGTGTATGATTTTTTTTTTTTTCAAGTAATTAGATTCAATATGTTTTAAGGATTAGAAATATTGTAATGATACGATAAAAAAATAAAAACCAGTTTTAAATTAAAATTGACATCTAATAAAATATATTGTGAAAAAATTTTTACAATATAATTATGATGTGTTGATTATAATTAATATTACTTAAAATTATAAAATCACAACAGACTTCTATCTATTCATTAACAAATTAAATTTTTCTTATAAATAAACTATAAAGAAATATGCATCTTTATTATTTTTATGGCTTCTTGATATATGTCGTTTCACCACCAATAACATATCCTTTTCTTTTTAAATAACGTATAGTCATACCAGTGCCGCCTAATGTCACCATATACCTAAGTGGTGTAAAAATTTTATACAGACCATAAGCAATGACCAAGTAACTGGTCCATGAGTTACCATCCCTTACTTTGTCGATAATACTATCGGGAATTCCTAATTTTTCCAACAGGGCTGGCACATCGCATATGCTGGCTATAAAATAAAATGAACCAAACCATATGGTTGAAGTAACCAGGTGAACAGGCAGCACAATGTACCAGTATTTTTTGGCCATATTCTTGAACCTCTGGAAGATACTTTGCGACTTGTCTTCGTCCGGCAGTGGTGGCGGTGTTGGCGGAGTCGTCGTCGTCGTCATAGTCTGTTGACTGACACAAGTGTAATGTATGTACGACCTAGGTTGTGTACCTGTAACACATTCGAGGTCGCGGCACCATCTCCTCTGTCCGGATATAGTAGCTGTACGCTTAAACTTGGATAAACAAACCGTACAAGAGACGAACAATCGGCGTGAGACGAACACGTTCATTCTCGCGATTGCTAGGTGATTGCATCTGAACAACATTTTTAACTACGAATACCTATTTATAATAAAACTGATTACACTAGCACCGGCCATCAACTCCATTTCCGGATGCTCCGGACACGCGATTTGAATCAACTAAACAAGTGATTGGCACTGGTAGTATAATATAATATTTATATTATTGTACGTATAATTTTCTGATTACATATTAATAATATGTTTAGCAGTATGRTTTTAGAAAAACGGGCAAATGGCAATCACAATATTGTTGACTTAAGTCGTTAACGTTAACACCGCCGTCGCATGTTATCTCCTGGACTACTGACAACACGGTATCACGTGGTATTGCCACCGATAATCGTATATTATTTTTGTAGTCAGTGACTACGACTGTCGTGGTCACACGATCAAAATTTAAATTTTACGTATCAACAGATAGCGCTGCCAATTGTTGTTTTAGATTCTGAACGAAGTGATGAATGTATTGGTTTTACAATTATGTGTTTTTTTTTTTTTGTGTCTACCTTTGTGTACAGCATAACTATTTTTTTATAGTCGAAATAATGCTTC